TAGAAATGAACACCAAGAAAGGGAAACAAAAGGTTGTTTAAATATTAACATACTCAAGAAACTTTATTCCATTATACTCATATCATATTTTGACTTTTATGAAACTGTTCATTTTATAAATATAGGAATATAATTATTTTGTAGGCATGTTTTAATAGCTAAGTCATTTTGCTCAGTTATTTCATTTTTTAAGTCAAAACATCTTCTGAATTTTCCTTAAATTCATTAAATACAGATATTTTGGTATAGTTTAGAATTCCCTTTCTAGAAAAATTTCCTGAAATAAAAGGCAATATTATGTGAAATAATTACTTTCCTTTAAGACAACACAAAGTTACTTGTTAAATCAAGTTACTTGTTCTAATCAAGGAAAGCCAGGATTTGGAATAAAGAAAGTGGAGGGGATGGAAGAAAGACTGCAATTTCTGTTGTATATAATCTGGAGGTTGGTTATTTATTTACTTTGTATTATTTTGGTGTGATTCACAATTGATAGGAGTTGTTCCTGTGTAGAGGATAAACTGGTAACCATAGTTCAGTTGTGGCCACACAGATCTACTAGTTAGTTTACTGTGTAGTTTTACCAACATTTTTCACAAAAATAGATGTCAAAAACTGGGGAGATTTCAGAAAAGTCTGTTATCCCATGGTGGTTGCTGGGCATCCCAATTCTCTATCACATAGCAATGGATTAGGAGTGGATTCTTTTTAGGGAGAAACAGTGCTGCTTATCATAGTGCTTCTTTTTGTTGCATTTATCACTAAGAAGTCTCATCACAGAAGAGGGAAGTACTAAGGTCTTAAGCACACTAATAGTGCCAGATTATCTTCCTGAAATTACCCTAAAGAAGAAATTACTTAGACTTCTTTTTCCTCTTCTGAAATGATGTTGACTGTATTAGTTATTTCCTTGAAGGAGTGTGCCTTTGGATTTGTGCTTACTATGTTGTTAAACCCCAGATTATCTAGTTTTACTACTGGGCTATCTCTCTCGATTTTATGTCCATAGTAATCTCAAAAATAAGCATTTTAGGAAATTATTTCAAATAATTATTTAATGAAATACATCAAGGATAAAGAGGCTTATTGTATTTTTGAAAGCGCATTGGTAGAAATACTTTCTCAGAAATATAAAACAGTAGGCAAAATATAAAACAAACACACATTTTCAAGATATGGTACCATGTGGTGTTTTCAAATATTTTGGAGTCAGACTGCCTGATTTACATCTATTGTTTTTCGAAGTTGTTTGACATTTGAAGAGGACTAACTCTTCAATTTCCTTACAGGAAAAATTAACTAGTAATAAAACTAATATCAAAGACCCATTGTGATGGCCAAATAAATTAATACATCTTAAACTTTTAGAATAGTAATAGCAAAAGAATTAAGTATGCACATAATTCTGAAGAATCCATATTTTTATGCCTCCTGAATTGTAGCATGGCTACACAATGCCATTAGTTACACCAACAAAGCTTGCTTTATTTTGTAGTAGAAACACAGAAGAAAATGTCCTTTCGGTTTGCAACATTTAATTAAACTTTGAAGAAGTTAACACCCTAATTCCTGCAAAACTTGTCTTCAACTTTCCAACCAAACTAAACCATCTCCTATTCTGAGCTTCTTTTACACACTAATTGGTCTGAAAATTAGAAAGGTAATGAACCAGTAGGAACACACTATAATGTTAATATCGATGATCTGGTTGTGATTAGAAAAAAGTATTTCATTAACTTTAGACTATTATATGAATCCCAGAACTCAGGAGGCTGAGGTAAGAGAATACACTTGAGGCTAGAATAGGCTAGATAGCTAAAGCCTGTTTTTTTTAAAATAAGATAAATGAAATGAGATGAAAGTAAAATAAAATATTTAGTGACTATAAGAGTGCCTAAGTAAAAATTACTGGCTATGTGTTAATGAAACTTCCTTCTTTATAATCATTCCCACAGAAAGGGGAAAATTTCCTCCTATATCTTACAGTGGTGTAAAGCTCAATCTTTGGAGCCAAACTAGCTGAGCTTAAACCCTATTTTTGCCCTATTTTTTCTATTGTTGAAAAAATGGCATGATCTCTTGGCCATCTCAATGTACTCATCTGTAAAATGAGGAAAAAAATCTGTTTTGACAGTTAAATGGGTTAATGTATATGAGTGGTAATTGGAGTCTACTCTAAATAAAGAAGCTCCTACATTATAAAAAGTTTTAGAAGTGGGGTACACACCTTCTGTGAGCTATTTTGTCTTACAGTTGGCATTAGTTTTAGAAACCTTTAAGAGTAGGTTGATTAGCCCATTTTTGGTCTGTCTGAACTTCTTTAGTTTTTTAATTCCTTATTGTCTTGTATAATAATTCTACAGCAGTGAATAAATCTCTATTTCCAGCTCATAGATGATCAAAATAATTGTAAGATTATATACTAGCTCTTTTATAAAGGATATGAGGAGTGTGGAGTGGGTATTAATTGAGCAATATTTTTCTCACTTTTATATAGTAGATTGAAAAAATAATAGTACACAAAATAATATATATGAGCAGGGTGCCAGCCACTCATGTCTGTCATCCTAACTACTAGGGAAACTGAGATCTGGAGGATTGTGGTTTAAGGGTAGAGTGAACAGAGAAATCCTCAAGACTTCATCTCTAATATAACCAATAAGGAGCAGGACTAGAGACGTGGCTTAAGTGATAGCCAGCCATGAGCAAACAAGCCAGCTCTCAATTCAAACTCTAGTAAGGAAGAGCAAAAACAAGAAACTTAAAAATGTACAAAAGTTTTATAGAAAGTAGGAACTAAAGAATACTTAAATTTCTGAATGCTTGATTTGAAAGAGGCACATATTTTTACCCAAAATCTGTTTACTTAAAGAAAACATGTAGGGCTGGGAAGGTGGCTCAGTGATAGAGAGCTTGCCTTGCATGCATGAGGCCCTGGGTTCGATTCCTCAGCACCACATAAGCAAAAAGAAAAAAGCCAGAAGTGGCGCTGTGGCTCAAGTGGTAGAGCGCTAGCCTTGAGCTGAAGGGCTGAGGGACAGTGCCCAGGCCCAGAGTTCAGGCCCCATGACTGGACCCCCCCCCCAAAAAAAAAAGAAAAGAAAAAAAAAATGTAGAAGAATATACTAATATGGATTTCTGATTTTATTGAAACATATTGGGATACAATTATCATTAATTCCACTAAAATGGCATGGCAGTTTGATTATAGTTTGTCCTTTGCAAAACTTCATGTTTAAATTCAATCCCAATTTTGAGGTTTAATCTGACAATAGTGTCTAAACAAGAGACCTTTTGGGGAAGGCAAAGATTAGACAGGTCATCAAGGTAGAGCCAATAATTAAATCTTGTGGTTTTATTTTTTTTAATTATTTTTTGGGTCCAGTCATGTGGCCTGAACTCTGGGTCTGGGCACTGTCCCTCAGCTCTACCACTTGAGCCACAGCACCACTTCCAGGTTTTTTCTTTTTCCTTATGGGGTGCTGAGGAATTGAACCTAGGGCCTCATGCATGCAAGGCAAGCGCTCTACCACTGAGCCACCTTCCCAGCCCCAAATCTTGTGGTTTTAAAGGAAGAGGGAATGAGACCAGCAGCACTCACATATGCCCTTCAAGATGATCTCTACCGTCTCAAGACTCTGCCACAGAGTCAGTGGACCAGCTCTGTGAGCCAAAGTAAACCTCTTCCTTCTTCTTGGCTTGCCCAGAGTTATCTTTGTTTTGCTTTGCTTTTTAAGATACAGTCTCACAATGAAACCCAGAATGGAGAGGAACTCTAGATTCCTGAGTGCTGGAATTTACAGGTGTGTGCCACCATGCCTGGCCAGTGTTATCTTAAATGCCACTCACAAAGCTCATTACTAAAGGGACCCATTATTAAAGGTTTCATAAATTCAAAGTGCTTTCTAATTCCACTGTGTGTTTTTAGTCTTTCTTATACCTGATTTCTGGGTAACCATGTGCTTCCTGATGGGTTCCTGCCAAATTATTTCATTTCCTGCCTCCCTTTCCAAATTGCTTTCCCTGTAACCTAGTCTGTTTCAAGTAGAGTGAAAAAGATTTGTTGTCTAAAAACTCATTTTTCCTCCCCTCTGTCATTGTATGATTCATTACACTTATTGCACTCTTATGAGCCCCAGCGTTGTCATTTCTGAAATAAAATGTTTAGCTCAAGTGATTGTTAAGCTTTCCTTAGACCCTGAGATTCCATGATTCCATTATTAAATAAAATTATACTAAGAGTATGAGTGCCCAGTGAACTTGCTATTTCGGGAGAAATTGTATTTCAAAGGTGACCTCTGCTTCTTAGTCCTGATTGAAGTATTCATATTCTCATGCATTCTTTTTATGTTTTGTTTTGTTTTTGGGTCCGGTCATGGGGCCTGAACTCTGGGCCTGGGCGCTGTCCCTCAGCTCTTCAGCTCAAGGCTAGCACTCTACCACTTGAGCCACAGCACCACTCTGGCTTTTTTCTTTTTTGCTTATGTGGTGCTGAGGAATCGAACCCAGGGCCTCAGGCATGCAAGGCAAGCGCTCTACCACTGAGCCACCTTCTCAGCCTCTCATGCATTCTTTTATACATTCAATTGATATTTATTTTTTGTTTGCTTTATCTTTGTTCCTCATTTTGAGATGGTGTCTATCTCAGGCTGGCCTGGAACTTGCAGATCCTCTTATTTCAATCCCAAGACCTGAGATAACAGGCAAGGGCCAGTATAGCCAGCAGATACCTGAGAACTATCAACTATAACTAGAATGGAAGGTTAAAGATTACAGAGTGTCTCCAGCATCCTAAAGTGTACCATGTAATGATAATATATGTTAATAGGTCATTATGAACAAAAACTAATATTAACATTTAAAAGTACAGAAATCTGCTGACCCGTGGAACAGGTAATACTTTAGATCTCACCTGCAAGACTATTTAATGTAGTTGAAATCGAAACAAAAATTAAGCAAGATTTATTTAATCTTATATTAATTTTTATTTACTGAATTTTACCATTATATTTTTATATTAATTTTCAATCTGTTCATAAAGATCATTTTTATTTTTTTCTTACATGAAGTCAGAAGTTAGCAACTGATAATTCATTTGTCTGCTCCAATGATCAATGAAAAGAATTCTGTGCAATGAGCAAACTTTTTTTGATTTTTGGGATTTGAACTCATGTTTTCTTGGTGCTCTACCTCTTGAGCCACACCTCACTCCTAAATATACTCATGCTAGGATTACATTAATCTTCCTTCAGTAAGGCTTTCTGGGTTGTATTTCTCACAGCCATGAGGAAACTCTTGAGGTCAGTGCCTCCTGTCCCTCTGCTTTCTGAGTCTGGTGACTCCTTGGATGCATTGGCCTGATCACGTGCAGGAGTTAGAATGTACTTCTCAACTATGGTCAGATGATAACTCCTCAGGGAGACCAGAGCTTGCACACAGCTATTATATGCTTCTTGCAAGTCAGCATTGTGGCTTGAGATGACAAACTTCCGGAGTGATGGGCAAGTCTCTAAGTGGTGCAGAAAGGCCTGGTGCGCTGGTGGCATATATGTTCTCATTTCCTGGAGGAACTTATCAGCAGATTCTAAGGCGACAAGACAAAGGTGAGAAGCAGAGCAGCCCTGGCTTCCTTGGGGAATCATTATCCCCCATCCATAATAGGAGCTCTGAGGGTAAAATCACCACACATGAAGACTAAATAGCTATTTGTCTTCTACTAGCAATGGCAGTTATGAAAATCTACTGTTCTTCTTGAAAGTAGAATGAACAAAACTCATTTAAACAATTTTAATTGTGATTGTGAAGGTGAGATACAGAGGGGTTACAGCTACATAAGCTGGTTAGGTACAAAAGTCAGACACATTTCTTTTAGGACAATGTCACCCCTTCTCTCACTCTTCCCCAGAAAACTCATTTTTAATCATAAGAATCTTGGCTTGTGCTGTTTTTCTTATTATCTTTCGTATTGGCTTCTGCCAAGAGATCAAAGTACAGACAGGATTGGCAGATGATGATGACACTAAGCTTAAGAAAGCTTAAAGGATCACATGTGTATATCTGTATGTGTGTGTGTGTGTGCGTGCTCACACTTGTGCACACATGCACATATGCACACTAGTCCTAGGGCTTGAACTTAGGGCCTGGGCATTGTCGCTGAGCTTTTTGCCCAAGGTTAGCATTCTGTCACTTGAGCCACAGCTCCACTTCCAACTTTTTAATTGGAGATAAGATCTAATGATCTCAGCCTCCTGAGTAACCAGAATCGCTTTGAACTGTGCCCAGATTAAGAAAAAAATGTTTTCTCCTAGCCAAGGGCTTTCCTCTTGGTTTGTTCAATAGAAACTTAAAACATTCTTTTTCTTCATCACTGAAGCCTCTAGAAAGCACATAAGAAACATGGTCCATCTTCCCCTCTGTTGTGTGTCTCAATGACCCTGTGCCACTGGACTAGCTGGGTGGCTTTCTGAGGTCTCTGCCTCTGACTTCTGTCCATGGTTGTGTTTCATCTACAGGCAACTTTCTATGCCTGACTCTACATGGTCATAACATAAGATGCCTTTCCCAGAACATCTTGCTACTTAGCGAAGTCTCAAGTTCAAGAGGGTAATGAACTCAGGTTTGGGATTTTGTTTTTCTAGTTGATCAACAAGGAGTTTCCCATCCTCTTTTAATGAATGAGGGCTATGTAGTCCCTACTTGACTGACAACCAGAAATGAGTAGCAATGAAATCCTAAGAGTCTGTCATGGCTAAACATCAGTAGTTCATACCTGTAATCCTAGTTACTCAGGAGACTGAGGTTTGAGGATCCTGGTTCGAAGCCAGCCTGGGCAGGAAAGTCCATGAGACTCTCATCTCCAATTAACCACCAGAAAAGCAGAAGTGGAAACTGTATCTCAAGTGGTAGAGTCCCAGCCTTCCTTAAGCAAAAAAGCTCAGAAACTGTGCTAGGCTCTAAATTTAAGCCCCAGGACCAGCGCACACACACACACACACACACACACACACACACACACACACACACACAGTCATATTTGTGTGAGAGATGATTAATATTTGTCATTTCACACCTACCTCCACTGGCACTCTGCTCTACTCCCAGAAGGATATCAAGGCTCTGAAAGATGCTGCTTTGGGCTGCACTTCCCCCTGCAAACTTTTTGGGGGTGTCCCAAACCCCTTCATACAGCAGACCTTCTGACAGCTTGGGATTGCCTTTCCAGCTGGACCAGGAAGGAAGAAAAATCAGATATAAAATCTTTCAGTAAAGGTAATAGAAGGTGACAAGCAAGATTAATAGTGCGGCAGGCACCAATGGAACTTTGGTGTGTTTCTACTGTTAGATAAAAGCATAAAATTCAAGCATAAAAGTACATACCCAGACAAATATATGCGTAGAACATTGAAAAATTGATTGGCATTCACATATTCTGCAAAAATATAAATGATTAATTGAATGATAGCAGAGTTACCTAGGGAGTTCAAGAAACTGTGAAAAACTGCCTAGAGCCACAGCCTACTATTATTTGATTTGAAGAGCTGTCTCTGCCATGGTCCAGTCCTTAATCACACTGAACACACCTATAACCTATTTATTGTCTGTCCAATAGGGCAGATTTTGTTTTGCAAATCACTGTTTATCTGCTGTTTTCAGATTTTATACTTTCAAGCTGCTGATTTTGCTGAATTTTAAACTCAGTTGGTTTTCTCTGTTTATGAGTGAGATAGTGAAGAAGCAGGGCTTACTGGAAGCTCTTCAAACAGGAGCTGTTTTTCAGCACTTAAATTGCTTTCATGTTTTGAAGGTCTCTACTTGATTTCTAATAGCAGGTAGGAAACTCTTTAGAGTTACAAAGGTCTCCTAGTAATCCTGTCTGTGCTGTTCACTACCTAGAAAGCCTTAAGAAGTCATTTTACTTCATCTCACTGACTGACGTCCCAGTCTACAAATCTCAGATAGATAAAACAAAAATAAATAGATAACAACAAAAATAAAATAGATAAGACAGACCAAGTAGAAACATCTGTACTCAGTGATAGCTACTTGTTGCTTCTCTTTTCTTCACAGTACTTCACCTCAATCAACTAGAAATGTTAACAATTAGCCTAGAATATTCTTCAGAAGATACTTACTGCGGATTTCCTCAAATACTTTGCGGGCTTCTTTCAGACAGGAACATATATGTAGCAGTGCCATTTTTGAGGTCTCCTGGTCCTCACATATCACAGCCTTGATTATCTTGGGAATTTCCTGAAAAAGGAAAAAAAAACAAAGCCAAATGTATAAGAGCTTCAAGCACCAAACATTGACACAATTTAAACTTTTATCATCTTTGCAGATTGGCAAATTAAATTTATGTTTCCATTATTTGATATATTTCTAGATTCATTTGGCTTACAAAAATTGAACCCAAAGTATATTTTGCTTAAACAAATTTATAACTAGCAACAATGGTAGCCCCTTTGTATAACTACTTAACAATAAAATATATATAATTAAGAAAACATCACACATGATGGTCAAATTGGTTTCATTCCAGGGAAAGGATAGTTCAACATATGTAAATCATAAATGTAATACAGCATATAAACAGAATATAGGACAAAAAGATCATGGTGCAGATAATTGATGCATAAAAGGCCTTTGACAATATCCAGCAATCTCTCATTAAAGCAATGAAGAAACCAGCAATAAAAGGAATGAATCTTAACATAATAAGACCTATATATAAGAAGCCTGTACCCAGTATCATTAGGAATAAGTAAAGGTTTCTACTCTCCTACTTGTATTCGATATAGTACTAGAGTTTCTAGACAAAGTAATCAGACAAAAGAATGAAATAAAAGGAAGTCAAACAGGGAAGGAAGAAATGAAATCATTACTGTTTGTTGATGATATTATTTTATACTTAAAACATCCTAAGGATTATAAAAAGTCTTTTTGGATCTACAATATCTCATATCCTAGCAACATAGCAAGATATGAAGTTAGCATGCAAAACTCAGTAGGTTTTCTTTACAGTATCCATGAACAGGCTAAGAAAGAAATCTGGAAAACAATCCCATTCTATTCAGAACAGGCTCAAAAGAAAATAATTGTATAAACTTAGCCAATGAGGTGAAAGACCTCTACAATGCAAACTAGAAAACCTTGAAGAAAGAAGCTGAAGAAGACATCATAAGATGGAAACATTTCCTATGTTCATGGATTGGTAGAATCAATATCATGAGAATGAAGATTAACATCATGAAAATGGCCATACTGCCAAGAGCAGATTCAGTGTAATACTCATCGAAACCCAATGTCATTCTTTGTAAAAGAAAAAAAAAACAAAACAAAACAAAACACCCACAAACTTGGTCCTAAAGTTCATATGGAAGCATAAAAGGCCCTCCAGGTAACCCTAATAATTCTGAATAAAATTGCAACACTAGAGATACCATAATATTAAGCTTCAGATTATTCTATAGAGCCATGGTTTAATTTTTTTGTGTACTATGTATACACATAGGGTTAATGGATTATGTGTGTGTATGTACAATAAATTGTTATGCAGCTATAATGCAAAATGAAACTCTCAGAGAGGGGATGGAAGTTGAGACCATCATGTTAAATGAGGTCAGTCAAGTTAAAAAAAAAATCCACATAGTGCAAGATTTTGCTAATTTTTGGAATCCAGACCCAAAATAATGATGGTAATGGTATGATTTGAATGTAGAGGGGAATTTATCTGTGGGTCATCAGTGGGAGAGGAAAAGGAAAGGATAGTGAGATGAGAAGAAAGAGGAGGAGGAGGAGGCGGAGGAGGAGGAGGAAGAGGAGGAGGAGGAGGAGGAGGAGGAGGAAGAGGAGGAGGAGGATATTCACAGAGCATTATGAAACCTACCAAGCACTGATTTCAAAAGGCTGAGTAAAGGCGTATGGGAATATAGTGAACAGGTGAACTTGTTCAAATTACATTTCAGGCATGTATGGAATTTTCACAGTGAAACCCCCCTTGTGGTACATGTAATATATTGCTAATGTAAAAATAAGGTGGAAAAAAATCTGAACATGTCAATAAACTTTCATAAAAGTAAAAAAAAAAAAGTTTCCCTTTCCATTTCTAAAAGACATTGGTTTATGCCACTATATATTAATGACAAATTGCATCAAAGATTTTGTTTCTCATAGGAGTTTAAAATTTGATTCAAAATGTCTGGCTCCTAGATTTATATTTTAGGTGACACAACAAAACAAATAGACGCATATAAAACAAAATGTTTACATTCAATGGTCCATGACCTCCAAATAAATAATCTCATGCTTTCATTTAATCAAGAGAGTCCATTCCTGCTAGTATAGTTCAGTTGCTAAGAGATTGCTCTGCTGATGTGAATACACAGAAAAAAATCCAAGAGTCAGTGGACATACTTTGATTGCAGGAGAAGCTGCTATTTCCACTAGTAGAGAAACCAGGAAGAAACCTTTGCTGCAGTCCCCACCAGGAAATGCAAACAAAATGTCCATGTTCCTAAGAAAATTCAAATAGGAAAAACACTTGGCAAATCATTTATTTGTAAAGAACCCTCAAGCATTTTGTTTATACCATCTTATTTTCAATGGTATGGCTAGTCACTGTTGCTACTACATATGTGAGCATATTAAGAGTCAGTCATATTAGCCCATGGTTTAAGACCATATTCAGTAAACTTGGAAATGTATTCATGAACTTGGCAAATTCCCCCCAATAGGTCTGTTTCTATCATTTCATTAACTTCTTCACAAGCATGTATATTATCATAGACATTTACTCCACGTTGAGAGAGGAAATTTGAGGTAGTTTTAAGAGATAGTTTTGTTGTTGTTTTAAAAAATCTATTTACATTTTTATCTTTATTTGCAACCCTGTTTTCTCAATGGTTTCTCTGCTTTACCAAGGAATTGACTTGGATATTTATAAAATTGTTTGGACCTCATTATTCTTTTGCATTGAAGTTCTGGCGTGGATGCAAATATTGCCTCAGAACCTATAAAACTGTGGGGTTTGTATATAGTTAGATTTGGAGTTTCAAAGCCCCAAATCTTCCACTCCTGTTTTGTCTTTGCTGTGTGGCCCTAGCTAAGGTCAGTCACGTGGCACTGCCTGCATGCTCTTTCTCTCGTCTCTAACTCAGGACTGATGGCACCAACCTGATGCTGAAAAATCTCAAAGAATTTTTAATTCCTGATCGTAGACAAAAAAGCCCTATACAACCATTTTTATAAATCATTTCTTCATTCTTGTCTCCTTCTATTATCATCATTTGTCATTTTCAGTGGCACTAACTCAACTTCAACACTGATGATGCACCAAAACTTTTGTTACTCCAAAGCTATCACAATTGTTGTTTTCTCTCCTGTAAACAGCCCCAGCATTTTTCATCTTCTAACTAATTCCTTCTGTGGCGGCTCAACTCTGATAAATTGCTCAGGGATTCTTGCCTTTAACTTCTTACTTGATTAGAGTCCCTAGCACTTTACTCTTCTTCTTAATCTTCACATATTCCTTTCCTCTTTTTTATTCTACTGTCACCTAGCCAGGATTACACCTGCCATACTTAGTTTTTCTAGCAGCTATATTGTTGCCTCGTTCTGGCACAGAGGTCCTAGATCATATATACAAAATGTTTTGTATGTACGTGTATTGATTATATACTTAGCATGTAAATTATATACATAACATGCAAATCTTGCTTGTATATAACTATCAAATAGATGCAAGTCTGGCATACTAATTGTTATTAAGACATTTGCTAGTCCTAAATTAAGGCTGGGATTATTTTTCCTTCAAATAATTACCTAAATTAGTTTTTATGTGAATTCTAACATTTAAAAATGCAATGTATATTCACTGTGAATATCAAAAAATCTTAGAATAAAAAAAAGAAGCACATACTTACTCATAAGTCATGGGCCTTATGAAAGCATCCAGGAAGTGGTGAGCAATTGGAAGAAAGAAAGAAAACCAATTTTCAGACTAGTTTGAATTATTGTTATTAGACTAAATACTACTTACTATGAGCTACCAGCAATAAAACGTAGGTAAAGCAGAAAAAAATGCTTTCAAATATTTCTCAGGTTTGTTTTGGAATACTATGCAAAGAATATACATATTCCAGACTCTTGTTGCTATTAAGACACTTTCTTTGTCAAATCCTTTTGCTTTTTGGTGCTACTGTGAAGAACACCCCTTATAGGTACACCTTGGAGCTACTGGGCACTGTAAATCTCTCTCTCAAACCTATGCTGCAGCAGGTCCCATCCCTACAACAATTGTGGGCAGGTAGCTCTGAAAGCTAAATGTTGCTGCCTATCCTGCTGAAGATGTACTCACTTCAGTGGAACTGGTCACTTAAATACCAAATTTGTGAAAGTTCACAAAACATGCTAGTCAAATGAAGTCAAACACAAGAATGTCTGCTCTCTGGCTTTATTAATGTGAAATTGAATAACAAAATCAACTAGCTGGGCATCCTAGCACATTCTTATAGTGCTAAAACTCAGGAGCCCGAGGCAGTAAGATCACAAGGTTCAGACCAGCCTGCAATGCATAGCAAGTTGGAGATTAGCCTGGTCTATATGGTGAAACCATGTCTAAAAACAATATCTATTTTTTATATAAAATCAGCTAATTTTGTTAAGTCAAAGTAGGGTATATTTGCATAGTATAGAGAAGGGAATTGGTTAGAAAAGATAAATGAATATATATACATACACATATATATATATACATATATATATATATATATATATATATCTTGCTAGGGTGGTTCTTTCATATGGTATATATGTAATCCTCAAAAGCACACTGAATACACAGGATCTCTGTTGATCCTGTATGCTGACTATATGACTGTCTCACTCATGTACAATGTATCTGTAAATACAGATATAACAGTCCAAAAACAATTTCCAACCCCACACAAAGCTGTGCTGCCAAAAATTAAGTTAATATAAAACTAGATTTATTTATTTGTTTGTTTGTTTGTTTATTTTGCTAATCTCAGAGTGTGAGCTCAGGGCCTCATGCTCAACTTGCTTTCTGGGCTGGCACTCTATCATTTGGGCCATGCTTTCTTGGTCTTTTTGCTATTTAATTCAAGGTAGAGTCTTTTCTTCGAAGGCTGGTTTGAACAGTAATCCACTAGATCCCAGATTCCTTAGTAGCTAAGATTACAGACATGAGTCACAAATGCTTGATAAGAAATGTACTCATTATCTTGCCCATGTAATTGTAACCCCTCTGTACAGTATTTTCACAATAAAAAATAAATAAAAATTTAAAAAAGAACCCAATTTACAACTAGCTTTCGATGATATACATCCCAACTCCTGTTCTATTAACACTGAACTTACCCTCTGGGATCCTTTTTCTTCCAGTTTGCCAGCACACAGTCAGCATAAACCAGAATGGGTGGCAGCCCCAGACTCTCAGAGAGTTTGCAGTATGGAACAGCAATGTTTCTTGGCAGGACCTATGGAGTACAGTGCTCACTTTGAATCATTGCGTCATCTTACCTTGTCTTCCCTCTCCTGCTCACATTCATAGTTAAGATGATGGTGCTTGGACTCCAAACACATTCTACTTTCCATTACTAACCCTGGAAATTTTCAAATGCTTATGTTTTGCATTTAGATTGATATAGCCACAATTTGTCCCAAGAGAGAATATAAAACCCTGTTCTTTTTTTTTTTTTTTTTTGGTCCGGTCGTGGGGCCTGAACTCTGGGCCTGGGCGCTGTCCCTCAGCTCTTCAGCTCAAGGCTAGTGCTCTACCACTTGAGCCACAGTGCCACTTTCAGCTTTTTTTTCTTTTTGCTTATGTGGTGCTGAGGAATTGAACCTGAGGCCTCATGCATGCAAGGCAAGTACTCTACCAATGAGCCACTTTCCCAGCCCAACCCTGTTCTTTTCACTTTCTAATGACCTTGTAAGCTATTTTCCCTCCTTCATCCATTCAGCCTGGGAATATTTGTAGGGAACTTCCTCCATTGAAGTCACCACATTATCCACTGATAAATAAAAAAGATAAAATTTGGTTGTCTCAAAGACGCCTATAGACTTTGGGTTTTGTATTTAAGACCTGTATTGCCCAACACTGGTTGTTCACACCTGTAATCCTAGCTACTCAAGAAGTTGAGATTAGAGGAAGCCACTTGAAGCCATGCTAGACAGGAAAGTTCATGAGACTCTTATCTAGAACACCAAAAAGCTGAAAGTAGAGCTGTGGCTCAAATGGTATAGCACCATTGTTGAGAGAAAAAGCTAAGGGAGAGATCTTGGGCCCTAAGCAGCACAAAAGGAAAAAAATGTGAGATTTCACTGGAAGTATAAACAAATCCATATCCTTGAAGCTCAGTGAAGATGATGATGATGTGTATATGTATACGGGGAAACTTCCCTGACAACCACACTGATGCTTGAGCTCAAAGACATGCCTGTGTCTGGAAGAGGGAGACATTTTTCCCTCATTGGGGATTTCAGTGTGGAAATGCATGTTTTGGAATGGTAGTCTTAGCTTTCTCAGCTCTTGTGCTCATTCACCTTTACACAGAGAAGATATGGAGATTTCCCAACTATTGGGTTTGGAACTGAAATCATAGCTAAGCCCTTTCTTCCTCATAATGCTTCTATTTCTAGCAAAATTCTGTCATCAGCCATTTAGTAAAAGCAATGTGTCCCTGCTAGGCAGTCCTATAGCTGTCTTCTACTCCCTTTAACTGGATAATGTAGTGGTTAATCTTGATTGTCAACTTCATAGGACTTGGCAGCACATAGGAGGTTAGTAAACTCACTCCTGGCTATGTCTGTGAGGTGTTTCCAGAGAGGATTAGCTAAGAGGGAAAGACTCTCTCTGAGTATCAGCAGCACCAACCCTTTGACTGTTGGAAGAAAAGGGGAGGGACAAAGCCTTCTAGTGCAGGCCTTCTCTCACCTTCCTTGATGTAATGAGGTTGAAGATCTCCTCCTCCATCTTTGCCTGCTGCCATGATGTTCTGCCTAAGCATGTGAGACTAGATGTTCGTGGATTGAAGCCTTTGAAACCATGAGCCAGGTAAGTCCTTCCTTTCTTATGTGGTTTCCCTCAGATGTCTTGTCACAGAGATGAGAAAGCTAACTGATACAGGAGGAAAAGAGTCTGATTCACAGCTCTTCCAGCCTGTTAGTTTCATACTGTGAAAGAGCATGTCCTCCAACAAACAGCTCCATGGGTTACACAGCTAACATTTTATTCTCCATGTGTTCGACTTCACCAATTAACCATCACTTGACTTTGACCTCATTGGGCCCTTGTAGTGGTTAGTATGTAATCACACACCATCACCAGGAGCTTGTAGCTGAAATACATCTAAGCAAGGGAAGAAGAGGGAGGTGATGGCTAATTTCAGTGGTAGGTGGTGGAGCTGCAGTTTCACACCATTGAGTAATTCTGACTTGGAAAAAGGACAGGAAATGTTCTAATACATCTTTGTTCTAGGCATTCCTGCTATGAAACACAATGGCTAATTTGTTGTCCTTTCTCAAACAAAATGTGCCTGGAGTAAATTCCTCCCTTTAAATTCCTCTTGTATTTTTCATTGCCACCTCCTACAGAATGACGTAGTATACAAAAACACAATCAATTAAAAAAAAAATTTCATCCTTTCTTTCACAATTGTGGCATCTAGTCTGACAAATCTATTATTTTTAGCAATGCTGTGTATAGTCTAGCCTCCATGACAAGTGCTACTGTTTTCCCTCTTTTCTGATCCACATTGCCTCTACATTTTGTGATAACACTCACTACCATTGAAGTCCCCAGAAACACTGCTCAGAGAGCCTCCAGTTTTGATATCCACCATCCCTGACCCCCAGTATATGCACAATTTGGTAAAACACATTTCTAGCAAGTCTAGTGAGATGGTGCAGTTAAGTAACATTTAAGCTAGATTGTAACAGTAGAACAAATGTGGCAGTTTGGTGATTACAAATAGTCAATAAAGAAATGAAAGGTAATGAATACATTCACATTATAAGACAGGAGTTTTTCCTCTTAGTTTCTTCCTCTTTTCTCTACAACTTATCTTACTGGTGGATTATGTTGTCTTTGTCTTTAGGCAGGGTGTGAAAAGATAAGCAACTATGAAAAGCATGCAAATTGCCTTTCTCCAAAAGGAAAATTTTATTAAATGGTAGAAGGTGCTGCTATAATGTGCTTTATTCCTTCGTGATTTGAAACTGCTTTGGTTTCATGTGATTATGGTTGCCAGTAAGATGTAGAAAGCCAATAAATTTTATCATGTCATATATGTACTAAAAATGTTCATTTTTTTGTTTATCTGAGGGTCAAATTGCCTGTATTTGCATTGGCAGAATCAATATGAGTAAGGAAGGACTTTCATTGTAATGCTGGATAGATAATGAGCAGATGTTGGCAGCTATATATTTTATTTTAATTCTTCTGCCTCTCATTTTCTCTCTCTTTCTTCCTTATCTTCATTTGTCCTGCACTAAACCCTTAGAAGAGTCACTGGGAACATCTTTTGCTTAGATTTACAGTGAAATTGCTATTTAGGCTGATTTGTAATGGTTATGTTCTCATAACTACTACTTTTATAGAAAACAAGAGCATGACTAATATGTATATTCATATAAACATATGTTTTGAAATTATTTAATTCTGTAAAACGTGAAGCCATCTATTCCTCTGTGTTGATAGATGCAAATGCTTGAGCATTAACTAAAAGAGCTATTCAAAGGTATCACTGTAGAAATATTATGACACAAAATATTTATCAGTAGAAGATACAGTAATTAAACTAAAGAAATATTAGGAGAAATATTATGACACAAAATATTTATCAGTAGAAGAGACAGTAATTAAACTAAAGTTCAGAAATTTAGTGAAAAAGGATATAGCTATTTCAAATGACTAGGATGATTGCCTAGTAACAACAAAAAATTTCATGATAGGTTTAAGTTAAAGTCACAGGATAGGAATAATCCAAGTAGAAGACTAAAATAAAATAACGATAGCAGTGGCATGCTAAGTCAGTAAATGCTTGTATTCTTTCCCTGTCTATTCTTTTGCTCAAACTTTAAGATTGAAGTTACAGTACTTAAAATGTTTAAGTCTTTCTTCACAGTGCTGAAGATAAATCCAGGGCCTTCTACATGCTAGGCAAGAACTCTGCCACTGAGCTATACTAGCCCCAAATAAATTGTTTATGTTACATCTATACTGAATATCATTCTAACAGAAATAAGAACCACTGTGAGACATGAGCAACATCAAGAAATGTTCAAACCTTTTTGATATCTCCGTCCCCTTTACCCCACACATATGCCATGGTGATGCAGCCAAGAACCAGATGTGCCAGGCGCTGCAACTTGTGTCCTTGGAGACCATCCACACTGAGCATTGGTAGCTAAGAACAAATGAAGCAAGATTTCATGGAAATCAGTTTGGGTGGTGCTTCAGGTTTCAAAAGCAAAGATATAAAAAAGTTAAGAAATTTAACAAGAAGACAAAATAATTATAGCAAACCTTCTCAACCTCTGCTCGAAGGTGACCATTCGCAATTAGTGTGGGCAGATTTTTACCAATGAACATCCAGGCATCATACTCATCAGGTAGCTCTTCCTTGAAAAAAAACATACACAGAGCTTTGATTTGATTACGGTCAAAAGTATTTTACTGTAAAATAGGAAATTACTATAAAATAGCATTGGCTTTCCACAGACAGCTCTCCTTGCCTTTAGCTCCATTTTATGCAACATTGGCTGTACAACACCCGTCTCCACCCACCAGCCATGCTTTGCCACCTCAGATTGTCTCTGCTTCATCTCTTCTCTCTTCAAGCATGGAATTATACCTATTTCAAATGTCTACTCAAAGTTTCACAAAAACCTTGCTTACTACTCCATCTAATACCAGTCCCCTCCATGATAAGCCCCACTGTTAGATGATTTGTTATCTGCTACACTTTCTTAGCTAATTTTCAGTTCTTTAAGTAGAAAAAACAAGAATGTATAAAATATCACTGTAAGGGCCAGGCTAAAAGGTGCTTTTAAGGGGTCTTGAATTAAAAGCCCCCCAACTTTGTATCCATGCCCTTTGATCTGATCTACTCTCTGTTCAAGTCCCTTTGCACTTACCTTGGGTTCTAGGAAAGAGAGGGTCCGCTGATAAGTATCTTGTGAAGAAAGGAAACTGACCAAAAGGAAACTGCCAAAAACTCAGGAGATCACCTACCAGGCAACTTGTCCCAATAGTAAAGTGATAGCAATTTGCTAAAACTCCTCTAACAACAAAGACGGCGATATTTGTCAAGTTCCAAATTATACCTGTGATTTGCTACTTTAACTATGCACACTGTCCTCATCTCTTACCCCCAATTCTCCCTATTTAACTTGAAGTTAATGCCTGTACCTCAGAAGATGGCCGACTTACTGAAGTAGGTGACTGCCATGTAATGAATCTCCTTTCTCAACCTTTCACCATGTCTCTTTATTTGGCATGTGGGGGTGAGTAGCTACACCCAACCTGAGACTCCTGGGCCTAGGGTCTAAAAAACTGGTTTATCACTAGTGGATTAGTCATTCTACTCAATAATGTTATATATGATACTACTTATTTAATTTTTGTAATGACCTCAAAAGTTGTTTCTTTGCGATAAATAAAAACACCAGGCTCAGTTTATATAATGTTCTGTATAGAGAGTTTATCCTGCCTTATGCCTCTCCCATTATAATCTACTTGAGGGTGTGTCCCTGAAGTTGTAAAAGTGACAGTGCAAATGGAAGGTTTAACAAATCAATATGGATGAGGCTTCAAGCTTCAAAATAAAGTTAGTATCATAAATAAACTGTAAAGCAAGGCGACACAAAGTTCAAATATGAACGTATTTGAAGATCTCAAGGTCTATATCCAGTCTTAATCAGTGAAGGCAGACTTCCAGCCAGGTTGTCACCAGGCAGTCACCTTTTTTCCTCCCTGATCTCACACACCTCTGTTCTGGTACTCTTCCTAGAAATACTTTCTACTGTTTTGTGCTTCACTGTGTAGCATGCTCAATTTTTTAACTGGTGTTATTTTCCCTACATTTTTGTTGTTGCTCTATAGCATAGCTAGCACTTTTAACAGATATAAGATTTAATCCATAACACGAAGAGCCTCTACTCTCTACTTAGTATTATATACAAATAAAGAAAAACAGAGGATTGTTCAAATTCTGCTAAGCTAGAGAAGGTATTTTGTAACTATAATAGAATCAAAGACAAATTATTTTCCTCTAGACAAGGGAATTGATAGAGTATGAGATGCACAGTACTAGGCAGGTTTTAGCTCATAATCTCTAGGAAAGATTTTTGTTAAAGAAGTAATCACTAATAACCCCCTGCCTTTTTGTCAGTTGTGGGGCTTGAACTCTGGGCCTGGATGCTGTCCCTCAGCTCTTCAGCTCAAGGATCTACCACTTGAGCCACAGTGCCACTTCAAGCTTTTTCTGCTTATGTGGTCCTGAGGAATAGAACCCATGGCTTTATGCATGCAAGGCAAGCACTCTACCACTGAGTCACCTTCCCAGCCCCTCATGTTTTAAGCTATCTATGACTAACTCCCTCAGTATCTCAGGGTGCCAAACTGTTTTTCTCCCTGTGGTTGCCACTTCCTTTCTACTGCTTAGAATTTCTTGATAAATAATCAAGGGAAATTTTAATTTTTTTGTTTAACATTTTGTTTTTTGCTTAACTCTTGTCTCTGCAATTACCACAGTTGTGGGATTTTTTTTAAAGACTTGCTTTTTGTATGCTCTATTCTGAAAAAGTTCTGGTGAAAAGAAAATGCCTTCTGGAGTCTCTGTCCAAAACGTTCTATGGCTGTCTGAGGTATGATTATGATTATGATTATGATTATTATACTGTTGTGGTTCTTTCTTTTTTCTTTTGTTCTTCTTTCTTTTTTTCTTTCCTTTTTTTCCTTTGATTTATTCCCTTTTGTCGCTGTTTTTGATTTCTGTACCCTTTGTCTTGTATGTAAGTTTATCTGATTTGGGGAGGGGAAGAAGAAGCACAAAAACAGTGGGACAAAGGGTAAACCAAGTCAGCAGTTATACTCTGGTTTCTCTTCAGATCGTATAAATCTTTCTCCTTTTTACCAAGTCAGCAGTGATACTCACTAGACATCATGTTGGAAATGAACTATACAACTTTGTAGGGAGGAGAGATGGGAGGGGAAAAACTGGGAGCAAATAAGGACGGAGTGACACTGTTCAGAAGGAAATCTACTCATTACCTGACTCATTCAACTCTATCCCCTCTGTGCATCACCTTTACAATTAAAAAAATTAAGAAAAAAATAAGAAAACAAAATAAAAAACAGGATAGTTTAATTGACTTTTTATATAGAGGATCTGCCCATTGATAAAAGTAGGGTGAATTCCCCTGCTAATCAATATTCCTACACTAGAATATTGTCATCTCTCTTTCCCTTTATATCTAAGGCTGTTTTTTTTTTTTTTGTGAACATACTGTACAGAGGGGTTACAATTACATGGTCAGGATAATGCGTACATTTCTTATCAAGCATTGCAGCCTCCTCCTTTGTTTACCCTTCACATTAAGGTTGTGTTTTTTTTATAACGTTAGTTATTTTGGCACTTATTATATCTTCTAATTACTGATCCCTTGATGATTACATACTAACCTTTTTGCCTCTACTTACATTTTATCTTAAGCTGTATGGTTGCTCATTTGCTTAGGGTTTCTACTTATACAAAGTATCATTTTCCATCCTGTCATTTGGGGTGTGTACAGCTGTATGGCTGCGTTGCCCGGGCTGGCCTTAGAGGAAGCATCCTCTGCTCTGCCTTTCCTAGTGTCATTTATTTGGAGGTTGTCTTACTTTTTCATATTCTTGAGACCTTGAGTTGCTTCACTTTCCTAGGATGATTTGCGCACTAGATGCTTTCTTCTGAGTTTGAAGGAGTGGTCCTGTAAGTGATGCTGGCTTTGGGTCCACTTGGGTGTCATGGTGCAGACCGCTGCCCCTCACCCCCAGCATCCTTCCCTTGTTCAGATGTTTGGATAGAGGATCCAGGGGTGGTAGGTGGAGAGCCCTTCTGTCTCCAGGACCCACTCTGAGGAAGTGGGACACCATGAAGGGGTGCAGGAGAATGAGGTGGCACCGCGGCAAGAATGGCCTCCCTCTGTATGGAAGCTGTGAGAAAGGACAAGCACCGAGGGGCAGCTGGGAAAGCTGGACCAGGGGTGTGCCGGCCCAGGGCGTGGCTTGCGTTGCCCAGCGACGGCCGGGGGCGGGGACGACAGTAGCCCCGCCCACAACGCCCAGCCTTCTGCATTGGCTTCAGCCTCTGGGCTTAATGGGAGCAGCAGCGCAGGCACACGCGCGGATTCTGCAGCCAGACTTGGTGTCCACCCCAGAAAGCCCCTGTAACTGTGCTCCAATTCTTTGCCTCCTGTCTCAGGCGTCCACAAGGTGGCACTCTGGAATCCCATGTCACCTTCCCCTGCAGGAGTCCCTCACCCAGAGGTGGAGTCGCTGTGTTCAGTTAAGAGTTGTTCCTGTCCCTGTGCCACTGACTCAAGAATTGTGTGTCTTATCCGGCTGCAGCCTCTCTCCTGCCTGGTCCTTGTGGAGCTCGCCTTAAATTAATTTATTCTGATTCTTTGTGCAGGAGGCAAAAAGGGCTGCGCACAAAGACATGGCTATATTGTCCTCTCTCCTCTGGAAGGGTTTGATAATTAGAATGTTGGTGATATATTATCAACATTTATCTGCATTCTTTGGAATCAATTTAGGGACATGTAGTTTTCAAGACAAGCATTTTTCCCATATACCTTGCACTTTAAAGTTAAAACATGCAAAAAGAAGGAGGAGGAGGGGGAGGAAGAATGGAGGGAAAGGAGGAACAGGAGAAGGAAGGAAAGAAGGAAGAAGGAAGGAAGGAAGAAAGGAAGGAAAAAAGGAAGGAAGGAAGGAAGGAAGGGGAAGGGAAGGGCAGGGAAGGAAAGGGAAGAGAAGGAAAGGGAAGAGAAGAAGAGTAGTTGAGCTTAGATTCTCAGTTGAATCTTACACTCAGTAAGCAGCAAGCATTATAAACACAACACAAAGATTATCTGATGTACCACCTCATAAAACCAGCCAATTAGTAATATATTTTGTACACATTGGTGATAAGTCAACAGCTAACAAAGTTTTTGTGGCTCATGGTCTATTGATACTGTCTACCTTTTCAAAATTCTTTTTGAGAATTTTGGCCATAAGACAGCCAACTTCTCATCTCTACAGTATTATTCTTTTGCAAAAAATCAAGAACTTCCATAGTTTCCTTGTTCCAATACTCTAAGGTCCATGTTGGGGCTGGTAAGAAGTACATGGCTGAATTTCTAGGAAAAAAAATGTTCTAAAAACAGTGAGACACACTTGTTGAAACTCTGTCTGTGATCTTGCCCCTACTTTATCCAACTATTTAATAGAAGTTGCCTGGCAGAATTTTACTTGTTTCAGTGAGTAATAAGAATAAAATAGATTTGCCCATATTTCCCAACTGTCTCTTACCAGTGGATGTTCCAGAGCAAAGCCTATGTCTTCTTTGATGTGGTATTTCTCAAGGCTTTCCAAAGTGCCTTCTTTAGAAGGAGACTGCTTGCCTGCCATTGTGGAAGTCACCTCTACTGACCCTCCTACTGAGTCTCAGCCTCCAGAGCATCTATTTATTATGGTTACCAGTAATCACGTCAGCAGGGAGAGATGACTTCCACTTTGAGACAGTTTCATTTTCTACTTTCCTTATTTGTCATATAATTAACAATCAAACCTCTATTTATTATTCTATTTATCATATAAAGAAACTGAAAGTTCATATTCTGTATCAGATGTTTGTTATCTTGGAGCATTCTTTGCTTAATGCTATCTGGGAATCAAGACATATCTGATTAAAATGATTAGAATATGGATACAGGTAGACACTGTGGACACTATCATGCCTTTGATTTAAAGTAAGAACATTACTATGGATATCGTCCTAAATTATCATTTAATTAGGTCACTGGCTTTTACTGAAAACACCAGAGGTCTTTGGTATCAGTATAGGCAATGCCAACATTCAACTAACACTCAGGGTCTCAGAAGAAGGAAAAACTAGGAACACATCGAGCTTTGGAAAGATGTATCTCCTAACTCCCCATTTTTCTTTCCTAGGTTCTCTTTTGTATTCAGAATAAGAGGTATCATCTTCTCTTCACGTTCCTTGTTAGTCACATTTAGGAAGCTTGCCTGGTATCTCTACATATCTGCCAGCCAGGAGCTGAAGAGGCCACAGTCCTGTGCATTTGGAGACTTGTTGAATATGTTAAAAGCTGAAACTATGATAAGATAACTTAAAATCATTTGTTGTTGTTGTTGCAGAATACAAAAAGGCTCCATTTGACGAATTTTTTTTATAGTTCAGGCAAGTTTATGTTCACAGAGAGGTTCACTAAAACTGAAGCAAAAGCAGAAGCGTATCATTCCTTTTGATGATCAAAAGGAAAGATAAGAGAAAGCGATTAATTTTCAGTAACTGAAAAGACAATGCTGCTTACCACCTGGATTATCAGCTTTGAAATAAACTAGTAAACCATGCGTTTGGTACACCCTGTAGCTCCCACATTAGTCTCTCTTCCTAATGGCTTTACTGGGAACTGATGCTTTTACAAGAATATGTTTTCTTTATAAAACAAAGGGGGAGGGAAGTGGGGAGGGAGGGTAAGGGAAATTGAAACCAAAATAACAGAACAGAGGGAACACAAGGGTGAAGCTCTTTAACAGCTGACTCATAAGGCATATGGAACCAGGCCCAAGGGTGTGAGTGATGAATTCCTACCATATTTGGAAGATAAAAACACTCATAAAATAGTAATGACTAGGAAATATGTGATGTTGCTATTATTTTTTACTCTTTGCACCTTAATCTATCTTTCTAGCTGCTGCTGCTGCTACTCCTCCTAATCCTCTTTTCCTCCATCAAGAACACTATAGACCCAGGCACCAGTGGCTCACGTCTGTAATCCTAGCTATTCCAGAGGCTGAAATTTGAGGATCATGATTCAAAGCCAGCCCAGGCTGAAAAGTCCCAGTGAGACTCTTATCTCCAATAAACTACTAAAAAATTCCAGAAGTGAAGCTGAGGCTCAAGTAGTAGAGCATTAGCCTTGAGCACAAGAGCCTCAGGGACAGCACCTAGGCCCTGAGTTCAAGCCCTGGGATGGGCAAAAAGAAAGAAAGGGAGAAAGAGAAAGAGAGAGAGGAAGAAAGAGAGAAAGAGAGAAAGAGGGAGAGGGAAGGAGGAAGGGAGGGAGGAAGGAAGGAAGCAAGCAAGCAAGCAAGCAAGCAAGCTAGCACTATGGAAGCACTGGCTTAAACTCAGTCTAGGCATGACTCCAGCCCCCTTTTTAGATAGGTCTTGTTTTTGCCCAGTCAGGGACTGTGATCTTCTTAATTGCTATTTCTACTGTGGCTAGAATGACAAGTGAATACTACCACCCTTTTCTGTTGAGATGTGGGCTTGTGAACTTCTCTGTCCTCAGTGGTCTGGAATACAAGTTTTCGTATCTCAGCCTCCTAACTAGCTACAATTACGGGAATGGCTAACTGTTGCCTGGCTGAAATTTCCACCAGTTTAAATATCAAATGAAGTTTCAGATGATTCCAACTTGGAAAAAAACTGTCAGAATTTGCTTTTCAAGCAGCAATTTTTAAAATTATTTTGAACTCTGCTTATGCAGTTATCTCACTCAATCTGCTCTACTTTTAGCTGTTCTGCTTCCTGTCTATCTCTACCCTTTCCCTGTCCTTCAAGTTGCTTCTTTCATACTTCTGAATCTTTATTCTCAAACAGTCTTGCCTTCTTTCATCTTGATTTTTCTTCATTGAAAACCTCCTTTCCCATGGTGGCAGAAGGACATTTTCATTTTATGCTCTCCTGTGGATTCTCATCCTCCTCTTTAACTCTCTACTTGTGCTCAGGCTAACAAGCTAGAGAGTCTCAAAAGTCAGAACTCATCCTTTCCTCTGTGGCCTTGAGATTGAAGCTTGCTTCTTTTGATACTCTCACCTACTTTGATAGCCTGGATGTTCTTTGCTATACAATAATTATATTTCTTGACTAAGCTCCTGGCTATAAAGATGGTATTATCCTCATTGACACCTGAAATATTCTGAGTAAGTTCTGCAGAAGAAATTTACCCATGGCCATGCCAAATGCAAACATATTCCATCTCACTATGTCATCCTCAGTAACACATACAACTTTTCCTTTACCATTGTTCTACACTAATTTATGATAGACAATAGCTATACTTTTAAAAGAAATAAATTCTTAGTTTAAAAAAATAAAATGAACTAGAACATTCAACAAGAACAAAAGAAATCATTGAAACACCAACATTCACTGGTGTTCAGCATTAACACAAGATTAGTTTTTATGCTATTTATTTTTGTTCAAGTTAATAATAGTTTTTTTTCTGTGCATTTATGTGTGTCAAGGATTTTCTAAAAACTTTGCAGTAGTGACCAATTGAGCTCTCAAAATCACCTCCTTAGGAACATTGCATGATATTCCTGAAAGGAAATTAGAATGGTTCATAATCTCCAATGCATTTAATTGCCTAAACAAAACATGATGAAATTTCCTGTTAGGGAAGAAAATATTTTAAACCTCAAAGTATTTATACCATTTTAATAGATGTATGATATCTATTAAAAGAGTAAGTCTACATATGGTACAGCATTATGGAAAATAGTAAGCTGTAGAAAGATTTTTTTAAACAGGAGATTATAGCTACCAAGAAACAGACTTTGAAATCCATTATTTAATATATTCAAAAAATGTAAAAAATGAAATAGATTATAAACTGTTGTAAATGTAAATAATAACCAAATTAATATTCCAAAATTTGCATAATGGAGAATTCATGGACTTTCAGATGTTGCAAGGGAAAATATAGAATAAATCTAAAAGAGAATATAAACTACAATGATTATGGTGAAAAAGAAAGAGAAAGAATAGAGATTGAAGGTATTGGAGGAAATCCAATATGGATTTAATCATACTTTAAACAAGAGTGGAGGGCATACTGGACCTCAAGCCATAAAAGGCCCTTGAAATCATTTGATCATGTGATCATGTGATCCTAGCAACAATCCGCATAATAGAATACCATAATATAAAGTTCACAAGGAAACAGCCCCTGAAAGAAAAAAGATTCCCAGAGTGGTAAGGGAGAGGACAGGCAGTATTTTACTAGAAGCTGAAGATTTTTTAAACATGATAAAAAGACACCGAGTCCCAACTAGACAAAACAATCAAATGAAGTTAAGCAGAATAAAAACCAGAGCCTATCTCATCACAGTCAATATTGCTCAATTTTTCATATGTTGAAATTTTCTAGAAGAATGCAAAGACTTTTCAAAGATCGCTGATATGACTAATGGTTGAATTATCAAAGAAAAAGTTGAACACTGAGGCAATGGTATGAAAAACTGAATGCTGAGGAGAAAATGCAAGTCAAGCTAAGAAAAAATAAAATATCATTTAAGAATGTTAATCTTCACTACAACCCAACTCTCGGGGATCAACTATACTCCCAGGCATCTATCTGCTCATAACATCACAAGCCAGGATACCTTAAAGACACTTGTACATCCATGTTCACTGCTGTACTATACACAATAGCCAAGTTATGGAAACAGCCCAGATGCCCTACGATACCTGATTGGATCCAAAAAATTTAGTACCTATACATAGTGGAATTTTACACAGCCATTAGAAAGAATAATATTATGTTATTTGCAGGGAAATGGATGGACTAGAACAAATTATATTAAGTCAGATAAGCCAAGCCCTGAGAGACCAACTGTTTTCTGTCATATGTGGCATATGGAACATATGGGACATGTTAAATTATACAGGACTTTAGGCACTCATGTACAATGAGACCAAAGTAGGATTTTCTTAGGGTAGGAACACAATAGCTCAATATCTCTTTGGCTCTGATCATATAAAATGATATTTATTGAAATGAATTCTAGGAAATGGAAACAAGAGGCCTCATTTTTTGTCTTGTTCATTTATCTGTCTTTGAGAGGATAAAGAGAGGCCACAGAAATGGAGGAACAAAGGATGAACAAATGCAGCAGTGATACTCACTATATACTGCATAGAAAATGAGCCATACATATTGTGGGTGGGAACAGGAGGAGATAACTGGGAGAAAGTGAGGGAACGGGTGACATTGTCTAAAAAGAAATGTACTCATATGTATGTGTATGTGTGTGTGTGTGTGTGTGTGTGTGTGTGTGTGTGTGTGTATACACATAAATATACACGTGTATGTATATAATATATATTGACTTCTCCCACAGGGCTCTTATGTTCCAGACATTGACATGTTCTCCTGCTTTGATGGCTGAGTAGCACTTGAGAAGCTAATTAGGCTGCTGTATTGCTGTCTAACCTTAGGTACAATCCATTCCAGGATGATTACCTTATACCTTTAAAAATGCTAGTAGATAACCATTAAGCACACTTTACTAATAAATTTTATGTACAATAAAACTATGATTGACAACAATAAACTATTTTATACAAACAACACAGTAATTAAATATACTGTGATGTGTTTCAAGATGTATTTTCAA